AACTGCACTACTATGAAAACAAACATTCTGAATGTCAATCACTTGACCCTGCTCGGATTAGGAAAGCTATGATAATGCAGGAATAGTATATATACTTTCCAAGCCAAGTCATCTTTATTTAAAAGTAAGATTCAAAATGAACACATACTTAACACATATACACATAAAAATGACAGACTTATGTAATTCTTTTCTTTTCAGGATTTTTTAAAGCATTTACTATCCCACAGAATTAAAAGAGATGCTGCCCCAAAATAATAATTTTTAAATGTATCCAGTTATCTTCTTTAAAAAATGGTCTCAGAAAGGAGAGATTTTTAGACAGTCATCTTTGGATCTGAATTTGTTTAATGACCAAATTATAAACCTCTGCAATCGACAACTAGAGTAGAAACACTAACTATGGTATGTGCTGCCGTAATAATGATACCCCCAAGATCAGCCCAGTGCTTGTAGCTGTGGCAGAGTCCCCAGGCAGCTGGATAACTGCTGCTTGATCATTATTCCTGCTAAAACTGAAGCTACTGAAGTTTTAAAGAATTCATATCTTACTGAATTTCTTTCATCTCTAATAATTACTAAACTGGCATAATTACTTATACTAGAGGTAGAATGTGACGCATGCTAAAAGCCCAAGGTGCCTAAAATTAAAGTTTTTTAATTTTTTTTTAAAAAAAGCCATGATTCTACTTAGTTTTCAAAGATTTATCTTGTGTCAGGCTTTTTATGCCAAGAGTTGCATAATTATTTAAACCATTTAAAAGCTTTCCTCACTATTTGATTAATACTATAACAGAGCTATTTAAATTTACTAATGTTAACTTTAATGTTTGAGTTTTAATTGCTTTGTGATAACACTGTTGCAGAACATATTTTAAATCAGACAAGTAGGCTTTCATTACAACAAACAAGGCATATGCAATCCTAGCACCAAGTAATCCCCAAACAAAAAACAGGAACATTTCAGGTCTAATTGAAATGGGATTAGAAAGTTGTATGCATCTCCCCCACCCCCAGAACTAACTTTAAACTTTGACAGCACAACAGGAGTCAATGAAGAAAAAAATTAACTACATCTGGGAAAATACTTAACTACAGGTCTGAAGTAGAATATCAGCCTTTGTATCAAAATCTCATTGAATTCAAAAGCATTCTTTCACAACTTACTTAATGATAATATTTACATTTTTAATGGTGCATAAGGCTGCAAAAATACAAATATTGCAAGCCAAAATCATTTTCTCTCTTAAAATTAACTGAAAAACTGAATACAGTATCCATTAAATCCAGCCATGAAGAATGTATTCTGTGGCAACAGAAGTAATGACAGTAAACCTGCAATGTGAATCCTGACAGATGAATTAATAAAACACATTAATAGGAAAAACAGACCCTTCATAAAATTCTTAATTGATCTTAGTAGACGTACTCTTTTCTACTATCAAAACCTTTCTTCTTATTACATGCTTTTACATGAAAATGAAAACTCAAGTAAGTATACTTAATAATATGCTTCAACTTATGTCAACAAGTATTTAACTAGAATTTGCCAGACTAACCAACCCTCAAAAACAGACTTCCTTTAAAAACAGAGGGAGGTGTATAGAAATGTTCCTCTAAGGTGAAAAGAAATCTCCTACAAATATGTTACAAGTCTCGCACTAGCCCAAATAAGCAAGTACAAAGAACTAAGTATAATTACCGGAAGCAAAAAGTTAAAAAATTCTGTCATCACTGTTAGACGTCACTGCTGTCAATAAGAATAACTACAGAGGTTTTTAAAGGATATGGGAATACTCTGGCAAAACAAAAAAGAAAAATTAGTAACAGCTTGCTTTATAAAAAGCTGCTAATCTCAAGTCCCTTTGTAATTTCATTTTTACGTGTATGCTTTTATGTTCAATATCCTATTTTTTGCCCTTTTTTGGCTGGATGAATAAAAGTCAACAATCCACTCATGCATCGAACAGATGTTTTTGTTTTTAAGGCCAAGTGGAATCTTATGAATCTGTGGGCCCTCTCTTTAAGAAGATGCTGCCAGAAGTGCTGAAATCGTGAAACCGGCGTTTTGGAAAAGACTCACTGGACCATCAGTTCTGGAACTTTGACTAGCACTCATGGGATCCTTGCCAACTGTAATTGCTGTTTTTGTTTATGTCGGATTGTCTACTGATTGGACTATAATCAATTTAATGACTTCAACATCTAGTCAGTATAATTTAGAGGTGGTAGAGGGAAGAAACAGTCACTGGTTGATAGATGAATAGAAGTACATTTGCAAGTATCTGAAGGAGTATGGCTGTCAAACACTGTTTGAGCTTCGGCAGAGCTTCCAATAATCAGGCTTTTTAGCATACAAATCCAAAAGTAAAGCATACATTTCTGTGTGCCACACAATGAGTAACTTTGCCTGTACAATCATGAAAAAGAAATCTCTAATTTGCATGTGTGTATGTATCTTTTCATATTTTTTAAAAAACTTAGGTTAAAATCTAGTCATGAAAAAAGTCATAATCTATCTAAAAATAATTTTGAGGGAAAAGCCATATTGCAATTCTTAAAAGCAATGCACAATACTGTCTTAAAACAATTATCTTTACATGCAAAATTGGGGGATTTTTTTTCTAATTATGGCATCATTTCCAAAATCAAAACTAAATATTTAGGGATGAGTTGTTTTTTTTTAAGAAATGAAACACAGGAAATACAAGAGAAACACCTTTTTTGGGTTATACTTCACCTGTCTACCCATAAGTACATATATTTTGACTTTGAAAATAAGGGTAAAAAAGTGTTTAAATAAGGACTGTAGAGTTTAATGTTTCTATTAAATTTCAGGTAGCTCCCTGAGGTGGCTTTTCTAACACCTACAATTTTTAGAGCTTTTCCACTAGAGAATGCAGCCTAATACACAGGTTTTCTTACTTTCAAAAGGTTTTGGGCTTAAAATTCATTGCCTTTACATTCAAATTCTATAGTTTACATTTCTTCTTTAAATTGCAAGCTGAGTTGTGCCACTCTGTTTCTAAATAAATTACTCTCCTCAAAAAAATAAACCTTCATAAGTACAAAAGAAGGTAAATGGGGGAAAGGTCCATCACAAGTGTGATAACTTCGAAATGTGCCAAGTTACAAAGGGTTAGCCACTGTGACAGCCAAGTTAAACAAGGCACTTCTGGGGCTGTCTTTCTCCCTGGTTCCCCCCACTCCTCTCCAGAGGCACTTCTGGGGCTTTCTCCCTGGTCCCCCACTCCTCTCCAGAGGTCCCTGGTATGGGTTTATGAACACCTGAGGGTAGATATCCTAACTGTGTCTTGTGTTTAACTTGGCCATTTAAATGACTAAGTGCTCCCGCTCCCCTTCCCAGCTTTACAACTTGGCTCTTACTGAATATATCGCACCTTTATATAGTGGACCACTTTATCCTTTGTACAGTGCTTTTTGGAGTAAATTTTTAAAAAATTGTTTATTAGGTAAAATGGCCAAGAAAATTCCATCAGAGGAGCATCACAAGAAACAGAATAAATAGCCAGCAAGAAAAATAGAAATAGGTCACAATTGACCAATTTGATGCAACTGATTTGCTGCCTCTAAAAATAAGCTGACAGCAGAACTATTTTGAGTCAGGTAATCTCCTCAAGTACCATGTCTACTCTCAGGAATTGAGACAAATATCCAAATAACATAAATGGGGCAGAAAAAGTGACTCATTTAATTGTCTGTCCATCCATGCCTCTAAATACTGGTTTTAATTCTCCATTTCATTAAGTAGAAGGGGTTATCCTGAAGATTCGTACCATAAGGACGGAGTAAGTTTCTCGACTTTGTATGTGGGCTGATAATATTTTGACGCTAGGGCTTTGAGAGGCAGAAGGGGTAAAGGAGTTCCATGTTTCAAAATATGTTTCCAGCTTTTGCAAATAGAAAAGTGAATCTTTTTGGTGTTTAACAGGTTTAATGCACTTTAGAGCAGGTAAGTAGACCAAGCAGGGCCCACTCCACCGAAGCCAGAAATATGGTACCTACTCTCAGGAGATGGGTTCTTAGAACAATTACACTAAAGTTTCCTACAAACAAAAAACCCAGCATCCTTTTTTCAGCAAACATAATTATTCCTTCAGAGTACTAAATTATGAGAATTCACATAATAAATTCAACTGTAAATAGGAATGTCCTGGTAGTCTGTATTTTTAAGCATTTGGTTGAAAATAAAAACTCCAAGCCTGTCATTGTGTCTTCATGTTTTTACCTGCCTTAGGCAAATGACTGTCCTGAGATGTTTCAAAGTATGATATCAAAAGTGACAGTCAAGTCAGAAATATCTTTTAAACCTTGTTGGTTAAAGTACTAGTATGTATGTAAGACAGAAGTTGGAAATTGAGCGCAGAACTTCATGTTTTATTTAGAATGGCCTATTGCATTTTCATGGTTTCCATTGCCTCCTTCAAGTTGGTTATAATCTACATGGATTTGAAATACTGTCACTCATCTAATAAAATCAGACTTTTAAAATCTCTTAATTGCAAACCTATTAATCAGTTATTCATAAGTGAAGAAACACAACAGGACTGCCTTTCTATACCTGCTGATAGCAAAGTGTTGTTCACTGCATATTATTAGTAATATTATACCAGAACACTGGTCATAATAACACCTCCCTAGCTTTTCCATGATCCAAGTGTGACCTTCTGAATGATATAATGGACAATCTGCATACCCAGAACACTCCTACAGTACATTGTGAAAAACTGGAAACCCTTCCAAGACATAGGGAAATCAAAATACTGAAGAGCAAAAAAGAGCCAACCAGAATGCCCTTCCTTTTCTCCAAAACCGCTAATATCAAAATGATTCGTTTGGCATAGCTCATCTACATATGAATTTTTCAAGACGTATCCTGAAGAAAAACAATCCGCTTTTCAGTGAGGACTGTACTATTTTTATTCCTGTCTTCAGCTTGTCATGCCCCCACCCCCCGCACCCCAAAGCCCAGCCAGCCC